CAATCAGAGCGCCGGCAGCGGGGGCCGAGCCGGCGGTGGGCAGGCTGCGGACGCCACGTGGGAGTCCTCCCGCCTGGGCTGCTGAGAGTCCGGAGGACCAAACCGGACCAGAGCAAAGTCACATGCCGCCGCCTCCTCTTTCCCCGGGTGTGACGTGGAGGAGGCCCAGCGAGTGCTCTGCCCTGGGGCAAAGACAGAATTGTTGGGGGTTTTTCGTAAAAGGGAGACTTGGCTTTCCTTTTCTTACACACTTTGGATGCTGGCGCTTTTGCAGACAGTCTGCCAGCGACCCAGACCCAGCCTCCGAGGCTTGGTTGCGGGGTGAGGGTTGGGGGTGGGAGCGGCATTTAGCTGAACGGATAGGAAAGGCTGCTTTTTCTTCTTTTTTTCCTCTGCATTTGTTGGCTTCAGTGAGGACAGTACTGGGCCTAACACCTGCTTCACGTGTGATTGATGTTGCAACTTTTACTTACAAAAAATTGTTAAATATTCCTTCGTATAAAGTGCAGCGTGCACAGCCCTTGGTGATTTTGAAATGTTCATTGGAAGGCAGTGGTTTTTCTAATTAAAAACAAACATATCAAATTGATTTAAAACTATTGGGACACTCCTCATTATACAAGAGGAATCTCATTTCTTCCAACATCATTTACTTCTAAAAGAATGGATCATTCGTAATTGAAACAAGAGCACGTACTGGCCCAAATCGACGCCAGTGCCTTGTGGAGGAAAGGGACCACATGCTGACCAGACAAGCTCAGGGGAGGCCTGCATGGCAGTTTTGCAACTCAGACTTAAAGTAACCACAAAGGATGGTCTGAAATTAAACTTTAACCAAAAGCAGTTATGGTGGGCAGTCATGTCCTAGGCCGGTATCTTCACTGACAAGGTCAACCTTTATCGGTCTTTTTGCATCGACTAGTATAGTAACATACCCTTTGAAATGTCTGGGTAACTTGTAACTTCCCTTTTTCTGGACCCCTTGGGGCACAACCTAATGTGCTGGGCACCAGGACAGATACCACAAATTCCATCATTGTTATCATGTTAATTGTTCCTGCACCCACCTAAGTATGTGTCTATCATTTTACTTTTTATCCAATCCCAGGGGATTCCCTGCTCTGCTTTCTACCCCCTCTCTAGTCTATCACCAATGGATTTCATGTAACCCACCTACGTCCCTTTCCTTTGATTGCAATGTATAAATACAGATGTAACCAGCCCATTCTTTGGAGCATTATATCAATTCATTGAGGTTCTGCTTCCTGGATCAAATAAACTCACAAAAATTCTTTACAGGTTTCAATGTTTGTTTGTGTTTTTACGTTAACAGCCTTTAATGTATTTCTACTACCTTCAAAGGGTTAGTGTCCTTACCTTGTATGAAGAAAATAAACCTTTAAAAAATCAGGATATTCTTTTTTAAGCTTTCAAACTATAGTGTAAAGCAGCGATTTTCAACTGGTGTGCTGCAAGAATTTTAAAACATGCAATACCTGACTATTTAGTCAGAGGCTCTGATCTCTTTTCCCTTTCATTGTCAAATTAAAAAATGACAACAGCCAACACAATAGCCATCTGGGTGTAAATGAATCAAATGTATACCTTTTTTTTTTTTTTGGTGTGCTGCAGAATTTTAGTAATTAGTTTATGTATGCCATGAGATGAAAAAGGATTGAAAATCTCTGGAGTAAAGAAAGCAAGGGCTTTTGAATCAGACCTACCTTGGTTCAAGGCATGTGCTTCCCTATGTGGTCCATTAATAGAGGACTTATTGTCTTAAAAGGCACCTCCTCCACAAAGTTTCCTTTTTCCAAAGTGGAAGTCAGATGCAACTTTTCTCTACTATCCTACTAAACATACTGCTTTTAGGTTTTCCCTTACGTGCATCATTTTCAAAGTGCTTTCCTATTTTACAGATGAGGAAATTGATGCCAAATGAAATAGTTAAGGAACTGAAATATGAACCCAGAGCATGTGGGTGCAAGTTTATTGTTGTTTGACTCTACTGTACCTACTTTTATGAGCCACCCAAGGTGCTTATACATCATTAAAACTAATGATAAACAATGTTTAATACTTAAGTATGTTTGTGCTAGGCACTGTTTAAGCATTTTACCTATTTTTACTCATTCAATCCGCAAGAACACTACAAGGTAGATACCGTAATTATCCCCATTTTACCGAGCAAGCATAGAGAAGTTAAGTAATTTATCAAGTCACCTATCTAATAAGTGATGGGGTTGGGATTTTAATCCAGGTAGTCTCATTCCAAGTCTGTACTCTCAGTTACCATGCTATACTTACTAACTTCAAGCAATTTATGCAAAAACCCTAAATTGTTAACTCAGTTTTTCTATTATTTTTGCTCCTTTTTTTGTTGTTAGCATACATAACTTTTTATGTTGTTGAAATAGGTGGGCATATGATACAAAATAATTCTTAAATATATATATATTTTATGTCATTAATGTCTACTTCAAATTTGTAAAAAGTCCTTAGGCAGCTGAAGCTCATTTTATACATTATGTACTTGGTGCCACCTGTAGACTTGAAGTTAAAATATTAGACACTTGAGTATTGGGACAAATCTCTTAATTTTGTGTGAAGACCTTTTGGGATTGGCTGCTCCTACTTTTTTTGTTTTTTAAATATATTTTATTGATTTTAGAGAGGAAGGGAGAGGGGATAGAGACATCAATGATGAGAGAGAATCATTGATTGGCTGCCTCCTGCATGCCCCCTCCTGGGGATCAAGCCTGCAACCCAGGCATGTGCCCTTGGCCGGAATTGAACCTGGGATCCTTTAGTCTGCAGGCCAATGCTCTATCCATTGAGCCAAACCGGCTAGGGCTGCTCCTACTCTTATTATATTAGTTTGGTTTTAAGTGTCACAGTGTGATAAAGCACTGAGTGATTGGCTGCATGCATTATCTATGATGACTTGTTTGACAGTTCAGGGGCTAGCTACCACTTTCGGTGGACTTTTAAGGAGAATGATTTATAAAGTTTAAGCATAGTTTAATGTGTAGATAAGTCATTGGGGAACAAATAAATTTATGAGATATATTTGTAGAGATCAGGGAAAAAGGATTTAGGCCTTTGTGAAAATTTCAGTTAGCTCTGGAATAGGGATTTTCAACCAGAGGACATTTGACATTGTATGGAGTCATTTTTGATGGGAGGTGCCATTGGCACATGGTGGAATTCCAGGACGCTGTTAAACATCCTATAGTGCACAGAAAGCTCCCTATAACAAAGAATTATCCAGCCTAAATTGACTATAGTGTTGAAATAGAAAAAACTTTGCCCTAGGGAGAACATCTGACAAGTGTAGCCTTTATTTTTCTAAGTTGGGTTGCTTTTCAGGTTGTAGCAGCTACTGAAGTTGCAAAGAAATAAACACTCTAGCCCTAACCGGTTTGGCTCAGTGGATAGAGCGTCGGCCTGCGGACTCAAGGGTCCCAGGTTCGATTCCGGTCAAGGGCATGTACCTTGGTTGGGGGCATATCCCCAGTGGGGAGTGTGCAGGAGGCAGCTGATCGATGTTTCTCTCTCATTGATGTTTCTAACTCTCTATCCCTCTCCCTTCCTCTCTGTAAAAAATCAATAAAATGTATTTAAAAAAAAAAAGAAATAAACTAACATGATTTCACATTGGGTTTGGGGAACAAAAGGGAACATTAATTGAATGCCAGACAGTATGTGAAGGACTTTATGTATACTATCTTATTAATTGTTCCAGCAACCTGTGAGGTAGGAGTAATGATCCCCATATTACAGGTGAGGTATTTAGGGCTGAAAGAAGTTGAGAAGCATTTTTGGGAACTGCTCTTTAGATGAAGATGTTCCACCAATATTACCTATATTTAGGTCCTCTTAGTTTTCTTTTCTCTACTTTGGAAATCTCATCCAAGTTCACTTCTTTAGCGGTCACCTCTAAGAGGATACGGTTTCTTCCAAGGCTTGTTCAGCACATGCCAAAGTCTGTTCTTTGAATCGGTATTTCAAGTGACTGCTATTTTTATCATGGCACTAAACATTAGGGACCTATATATAGAGAGGTGAGACCCAGGTTGCATCCTCCTGGTGGAAGTTACTGGGGTTTGGGAAAATAGTACCTGAGGATAATGAAGGATGACAAAGAGTTAACCAGGTGTGAAGTAGGGTACCTGGCTTTGTAGGAAAGTTTGTTTGGAGGTAGAAATGGGAGATAGCTGCTCCTTGGGGAGCTACAGACGATTTGGTCTGACTTGTAGCAGAAGGTGTATGGAGTCCCGACATTGTACTGGATGCTTTCACATGTGTGAATATCCTTTAGCTCTCAGACCAGTTTTACTGTTTGCTGAATATCTCCTTCTGAGTGTCTTGCTGCCACTTCAAAATCATATATGTCAAACTAAATTAATCTGTTGTCTTACATCTGCACCTTCACCCATGGTTCCTGCATCTGTTAATGGCACCACTAACTTGTCTTTCTCCAAAGTTTGGAACCTAGATACTTGATTCATTTTCTAGTCACACAGAATTTTCTAAGTTAGTCTTCTTCAATAATGTCTCATAAATGCCTTTCCTTTTCAATTTCTGCTTCCACAACGAGTTTAGACTTCATCTTGCTTGGACTTTGTATTGGCTTCCTAACTAGTCTCTCTACTTCCAGTCTCAAGTTCTGCCTAATCTTTTTCAGGCATAACTTTACTTACTCATCATCCTATATAATAAAACCCTAATATGCAAATTGACCGAACAGTGGAACGAACTGATCGCTATGATGCGCACTGAAGTGCTTGGAGCCCAAG